GATGTCAACCTCCAGGACTGGACACCTCAACACACAGCAACAGCCAGGCTGCTACCACTGGTGCCAAAGCCCTCAGTATTGCTGCCTGTAGCAACACTGTGACAACCACACGTCAGCCACCAGGATGAGCCACCTTGACACACAGGAACAGCCTGTCCGCTGCACCCAGTGCCAGTGCCCTCAATGTTGCCTCTTGTACAACACTGACAACCACACAACGTCAACCCCACTGGACACCTAGACACACAGCAACAGCCTGGCCTGTACCACCAATGCCAGTGCCCTCAGTGTCACCGCCTGTAGCAACTTTGTGTCAACCACACAATGGCAATCACCAGGACTGGATCCCTAGACACACAGCCTGTCTGCTGCAACCAGCCCCATGGCCCTCAATGTTGTTGCCTGTAGCAACACCATGACAACTGCACAGTCAGCCACAACAGGGAACCTCAACACACATCCACAGCCCATCTGCTACAACTGGAGCCAGGGCCCTTAATGTCACCACCTATAGCAACACTGTGACAACCGCACAACATCAGCTGCAAGGGCTGAGCCGAGAAACACAGTGACAGCCTGGCCACTACAACTGGCGCCAATGCCATTGGCATCTGTTGTGACACCAACCCCCTTCCCCAACATCTCACCGAGGCTACAACTGTCGTCTCCGTGTCCTCAGCCAGGATGGGGGTGAGGCCGCCACCGGGGATGGGGATCCCAGTCAGGTTGTAGGTCAGGCGCAGGGTGATGGGTGTCAGGGTGTCTTCAGGGCAGACCTGAGGGTGGGTACAGGTGTGAGGGTACCATGGGCCAAGGCTGAGGGAGGCAAAAGGGAAGGGGAAGGGACACTCACAGGCAGCCGGACACGGTACTCCTGGCACTTGGTATGGAGACTGACAGGCAGTGACAGGGACTGTGCAGGCAGGGGAGGATTGAAGGCAGCGCGGACCCGTATCCGCCCGGGGTCCAGTGCCAGCTCATAGTGGAAGGGGCCCCAGCTGGAACCACCTGTAGGGATGGGAGGGGGGTAAGAGCACAGCCCCCAGACCCCCGGGCACAGAATGACCCCCACTGCCTGCCTGAGGGGTGTGTTGTACTGGGTCAGGGCCTGGTGGGGCACCCCAGAGCTGGCTGCATCGGGGGGAACAGATTCGTGGCTGCGGAGGGGGCACTGGTTGGCTTGTGTGTGTCCTGGACACCTGGCTTTTGAATGTGTGGGTGTGGGTGGTAAGGCTGGAGACTGGGGGTGTGGCCTCTCCCCTGGTGGGCGGGACCTATCCTGGGAGTGGAGCTGACCCTGGAAGCGCTGGCCAAGGCTCAGGCGGAGGCTGAAGCAGATGCGGGTGGTGGCAGCCTCGGTGTCCAGCTGCTCCCGGCCCTGGCAGTCGAAGGCAGTCACTGGGATTGTGGTCGGGGCGAAGGTCACGGTCACGGCTGCTTGCAGCACCGGGCGTGACCTGCAGGGGCAGAGCTGGGTCAGCCACACAGGCGGGGAACCCAGACGTCCTGGACACATGCACCCACACGCATCCCTGGGGGACCCAGGCATCCAGGCTCACCGCAGCAGCAGCACCTGCCCACGGCCACCCACGGCGATGTCCTTCAGGCCGTCACCTGTCAGGTCCATGCCCCCACTCAGCGTCAGGCCGAGCGCCCACAGTCCCCTGGACACCTGGGTCCCCGTGATGCGCTGGGGGTGGGAACAACTGTCAGGGGGTGACAGGGACGGCGGGGGCAGGGAGGAAGAAGGTGGGGATATGCCTGAAAGGGGTGGGACTACAACTACATGGGAGGGGCCAATGGCTGTAGGGGCAGGATGAGAGATGGGGCGGGACTTAAATCTCCAGGGCTGGGGTTAGAGGTTAGGGGTCAAGCCAAGGAGAAGTGGATGGGGCTAGAGGAGCAGGGGGAGCCCTAGGAGCAGTGAGGGGGTGGGACTAGTGGCTATAGGGTCAGGGCTGGAGGGGTGGGTTTGAGACAGAGGGCTGGGCCAGGGGGCAGGGTCTAGGGCATGGGGGCGGGGCTACAGAAGCAGGGGTGGGGCTAGGGAGAAGGTAGGGGCTAAGCAGGGGATGGGGCCGTAGCAGCTGGGGACAGGGACAGGGGAAGTTGGGGACGGGGCCTACCTGGCTGGGCTGGTTGCGCAGGTGGCGCTGCTGCCCGCGGAAGATGTAGAGGGCCCCATGGGCACCGTCCTCCAGGGGGGCCCCCACGGCCAGGTCGGCGCGGCCATCGCCATCCACGTCCCCCAGCGCCCCCTGGCTGGCCCCGAAGCGCCCCAGGGGCTGGCCCCCCTGCCCCCGCAGCACCCCGTCACACCGCAGCGGCGCCCTCTGTGAGGGAGCACAATACCGTAACTCCCTGCCTACCATGCGTGCCACCCGCCCGCCAACCCCATGTGGGGCAGGGAAGGCAGTACCGTATTGTACTGGTACATGCGCACATGCCCCCTGGGGGCCCCGGCAGGCCAGAACGGGACCTAACATATCATCTGGCATGTAATGTGCGCCTCCCCTGCCAGCCACTCCGCAACACCCCCTATGGGGCAGGTGGGGGAGCTACTGTACTGTATCAGGTATATGCGCACCTGCCCCTGCCCTCTGGGGACCCCTACAGGCCAGAAAGGGAGCTACCATATTATCTGGTGTATAACGCACACCTCCTCCCCCCCACTTGCCTGGTAGCACCCCCAACAGGGCCTGGGTGGAGTTACTGTGTTTGATCAGGTATGTATGCACCTTCCCCTGCCCCATGGGGCACACATGCCCCTAACTTGCAGGGCCAGAAGGGGACGACCATATTTCCTCACAGATATGCACCCCTCCCCACTCCCAGAGCACCTTGCTGAGCTCCTGCCTCACCCCCTACCTGCTGCATGGCACAAAAGGGGGTTACTGTATTTTCTGGCATACAACATGCCCCCTTTTCCACCCACCAACCCAATCCCTGCCCCATCCCTGGGTCCTACCTCTGCTGGGATGGGGTAGACAAAGACACGGCCCCCACTTCCCTCCCCATAGTACATGGGGGCTCCAATGAGGATGAGGTCGGTGTTGCCATCTCCATCCACATCCATGGTGCTGAGGGAGCCCCCGAAGTATGAGCCAATCTGGGGGGCAGAGAAGACCCTGTAACCCTGCTTCAGGCCTGGCCCCCACCCTGTGTAGTCACCTCTGCAGCTCCCAGTCTCACCATCTGGCATCACAAGGAGGTTGTGCAAGAGGTTGACCCCTGCCCCCCCCCCTCCCCACACACACACATACACCTCTTACCCATGCGCTTTTGGACACGTGTCTGTACAGATCAACATGCCTGCCCATACACACTTATACAACGCTCGTGTGCCATTGCACGCTACACACATACATATGTGCTCACAGATGCAAGTGCTCATACACATGTGCATGCACGCATTCTGCTCACACACGTCTGAACATGTGCGCACACACATTTGCATGCACATGCATTACACACATGAACATATCTGCTCATGCTGGCACACAATGCACACATGGACATGAGACATAGAACCCAGGTGTCCGGGACATACAAAGCACCCAGGCATCTGGGATACACACACACACACACACACACACACGCCCCTACCTGATCCCCAGTCTTCTCTGCCTCGGCCCTCCAGGCCTCACTCTGGGGGTCCCGGTAGAACAGCACCACCTTTCCCACATGCTGGTATCGTGGTGCCCCCACCACATAGCCCCAGCGCTTCTTGGAGGTCACCCGCTGGACCGCATAGCCTGGGGGGGGGGGAAGGGGGGAAGGGGCAGAGATGTCACCAGCCAGCCTCCCCCAGTTCAGCTGCTGGAGCCACGGAGGATACTGGGAAGGGATCTAAAAGGAAGATCACCCAGCTCCTAAGTCACAATGGATGGATGGATGGATGGATGGATGGATGGGTTTTGGGGATGGATAAATGGAAGGAAGCGGGGTGGGGATGGATGGATGGATGGATGGATGGGGTTTGGGGATGGATGGATGGACAGATGGATGGATGGGTTTGGGGATGGATGGATGGATGGATGGGTTTGGGGAAGGATGGATGGAAGGAAGGGTTTTGGGGATGGATGGATGGGGGGATGGATGGAAGGGGTTTGAGGATGGATGGATGGGTTTGGGGAAGGATGGATGGAAGGAAGGGTTTTGGGGATGGATGGATGGGGGGATGGATGGAAGGGGTTTGAGGATGGATGGATGGGTTTGGGGAAGGATGGATGGAAGGAAGGGTTTTGGGGATGGATGGATGGGGGGATGGATGGAAGGGGTTTGAGGATGGATGGATGGGTTTGGGGAAGGATGGATGGAAGGAAGGGTTTTGGGGATGGATGGATGGGGGGATGGATGGAAGGGGTTTGAGGATGGATGGATGGGTTTGGGGAAGGATGGATGGAAGGAAGGGTTTTGGGGATGGATGGATGGGGGGATGGATGGAAGGGGTTTGAGGATGGATGGATGGGTTTGGGGAAGGATGGATGGAAGGAAGGGTTTTGGGGATGGATGGATGGGGGGATGGATGGAAGGGGTTTGAGGATGGATGGATGGGTTTGGGGAAGGATGGATGGAAGGAAGGGTTTTGGGGATGGATGGATGGGGGGATGGATGGAAGGGGTTTGAGGATGGATGGATGGGTTTGGGGAAGGATGGATGGAAGGAAGGGTTTTGGGGATGGATGGATGGGGGGATGGATGGAAGGGGTTTGAGGATGGATGGATGGGTTTGGGGAAGGATGGATGGAAGGAAGGGTTTTGGGGATGGATGGATGGGGGGATGGATGGAAGGGGTTTGAGGATGGATGGATGGGTTTGGGGAAGGATGGATGGAAGGAAGGGTTTTGGGGATGGATGGATGGGGGGATGGATGGAAGGGGTTTGAGGATGGATGGATGGGTTTGGGGAAGGATGGATGGAAGGAAGGGGTTTGGGGATGGATGGATGGATGAGTTTCCCTAACACAGGAGCCCGGCTCTGGAGAGCTCCACCTGGGCGGTCCTTACCGAGGTAGGCATCTTTCATGTCCCCGCTGGTTGTGGACACGTTGATGAAGGCTGCTTCCCCAATGGCCTCGTAGAGGAAGAGCCCCCCAGACCAGTCATAGGCGCCAACTGCCCCCAGTATAGGCCCATCCTAGATCAGTACAGACCATTAACTCATGCCCTACTGTGCCCCTCCTCCCTGCCCTGACCCACCCCCTGTTGAGTCCCCTGACCAATAGGAGATGAGGTTACTCACAGGAGAGAGCAGGGCACTGAAACCCTCTTGGGACATCTCCAGCTGGAAGGAGCTGCCCCTCTGGGACTGGGTGCCTGAAGAAACAGATGGGGGCGCACATCAGGCCTGGGTTGGGGGCCCCTGCTCTGACCCGAACCCTGAGCCATCCAGGGCCCCTTCCCTCTACAGAGCCCATTGGGTTGTGGGGGGTGGGGGGGTGACTGCACCTTTGGGTGCCTGGCGCTTTAAGGGCTGGAGGCAGGCAGCCAGCACATGCTGGATTAGGGCGGCCACTTTAGGACCCAGCACACACAGGCTGGGGCAGCAGTCTGCTGCCATTCATTGCAGGAGTAACATCAGCCAGCTGAGCTAGTGCTCAGGAACATCTTGGAGGGAAGGGCAGGAGCTGTGGGGATGGTTGGAGGCTTCTGGTCCTGGGCGCAACCTGAAACTGCACCCTGCCGGGGAAGGGTGGCCTGGTGGGCTTCCTCATGGTGAGACCAGGTACCACCCCAGTGAAAGGCAGGTAGGGGCACCTTAACCCCAGCCCCCGCTCTCCAGTGGGTATGTATAAATTAGGGAGAGAAGGGCCAGGCACGCTGGGACAGGCACCTGAGCCCCGCAAGGCTGTGAGACCCCGGAGGCCCCAAAGCAGGGCGGTGGTGATATGGGGGTCTGCTCAGACTAGGGTGCAATGAGAGGCACCTGAAGGACTGAGGACATATGGTGCAGAGTAGGGCTGCTGAGGGTGGCCTGAAGGGCTGCACCAGGCTTGTACCAAGTAGAGCTGCAAGGGCCGTTGGAAAGGCAGTACGGGGGCCGACCCCACCAGTTAGAACTGGAGCAAGTGGGAGGGGCAGAATCAGCCCAGTGTTCGGGCCAAGGTGACACCACGTCGAGTAGGGGAGCATGAGCGAACTGAAGGTGCTGCGTGTGCTGTGCCGGAGAGTTAGGCAAGCCTGATGGCCAAAAGATCACTCAAGGGAGCAGGGCAGGTTGTATGTGGCCCAGTGAGGGGCCGTGTGGAAGAGGCCCCTGTGAGAGGGGGGCGGAGCGTGTGTAAGTGTGAAAGAGGCCCAACGATGGACTGACTTTGGCCTGGCCTGAAGCCGGGAAGCAATAATAATATTCTGGATGCCATCTGCGAGGCATGGGCCAGCGTAGGGGTGGTACAAGCTGTGGATAGCAGTCTCTGGCATCAGGGTAGTGAATGAGCGCCTCCCGCTTAATATTTTATGCTAACATTCAAGTTGTGGCAGGAGAGTCAAGGCAGACTGGCCTGGGTAGGTGGGGTGGGCTATCACGAGATCTAGCCCCAGGAAGGCCCCCTGTCACAGGGGGCATGAAGGAG